GGGGAAGAGGACGGGGGTCCTCATGGACCGCCGAGATTCCGTCTGCTCCTGCGGCGGCGGCGGCGGCGGCCACACACACACACACACAAGAGGGCCGCCCCCGATCTCCCCTTCTCAGCGGCTGCAGAGCTCCCTCACAGCGCCTCTTGTCGGACACTCGCATCCATCGTAAGGCCAGATTTCAAGTTTTCCTGGTGGTGGAGTTGGTTTGAAGGGCCCAAGGTAGTAACAAGTTATGCTATACTGGCCACAACAAGCCTCTTGCTGTTTATAAATGGTAATATCTGAATTTTTGTTGAGGTTGACTTTTTATAATTTATAACTTTGATAGTTATAAAAGCCTTTGGATAGTAACAAGTTAAGGCAGTCTCGGACGTTAGTTTTAAATGTTAAAAATCTCTAAATGTGTTCGAAACGCATCTTGTTTCTGCCCAATACTACATATATAACATCATTGGGCAGAACAACACCACCTGCATTATAATGGTGTTGTTCTGCCCCAATCCATTAATGTATGGTTAAAAACAAAAAAATAAGGCGTATGTAGTTACAAGAACACTTTCACCAAAATCAAGATATTAGAATGGCGATTGACTTGCTGTGTCTGGTAATATCTGGTTATTGCCTGGATTTCTTGATTTGAAAAAGGACTTTTGGTTTGTAGAAATGGCCATGGCTACTTTGCGAATGTAATTTGGAGAGCAACTGATCAAAACATGTCCCGGCTTAATACAAAATATATTGTTTCAAAGTGGTCCTGTCTCTGTGTTTAACGTTTTATGTTATTTGGAAATTATGTTTTCAATAATGTGTAATTGTAATTAATATTAGTTGTTCTCAATGACTTTGGTGGACAAGTTTAAAACAATTAAAATTCGCTTAAAACATTGGAAATACGAGTAAATTATGAAGTTGTGTATTCTAAATGTGTGGTGCCTCTTATGGTTTTACAAGTGACCTCTGTTTTTGGCGCCAATATAAGGGAAGCAAAATGAAACAAATGACTATGACAAAACATATGAACATAACAAAATTGAATAAATAGTAGCAATGGCTTTGCTTCTAGATAAAAAGCTTCGGAATATATAGTATAGTACTTGTGAGTTAACATTTGTGAACAGAATTTTACTTGTTTAGGCCTGGAGAGTAGTTATTACGTTATATCGTAGAAATGTTATGGGTTGGTCGGAAGTTGGTATCACAGTTCCTTTAGTATTGACTTCCGTTGACGTCCATCTACCCGCCAAATAACGATTTTTAAGATGAATATTCGCATAAAATGCGTTGGTAACTATGCGTTGGACAGACGCAAGGATATTTTTATCTTAATGCGAGGGCCGAAGGGCCTAGCCTTGTCCTCAACTTGGACACCCGTAGCGAAACGTCACAGTACCGCGCACGTGAATTGTGACACCACCAACTTCCGATTTACCATGTTACGTATAATTAACTGAGGATAGATAAATAAACTTGCACATCAATATTGACAGAATAATGTCAAATACTATTTTTATCAATTCTCTTCCTGCATCATAAATGTGCGCTGATCGTTTTTACCTTTATTAAATTTCGTAACTGACAGTAACCTACTGTATTAAATAACATATACCTTCTGATTGAACTTATTTGTGAAGTTAGGAATACGTATTTCAAGGATTGTGATATTGAAATAACGTTTTGATCCACGCTTATTCTGTATTTGTCTACGCTTGATATTGTTATATTTATTTGAAATATGTGAAATAGTTGTTTTAATTTGACGCACAATGCTGAGCTTTAGTTGTTGTTTCAATGTTAACTTCCAATGGAAGTTTAGGAATTTTGATTAATGTTTTCGTTTTTCATATACTTTGTAATTTAATGGAGGCTATACTAATAGAAACAATACGTTGCTTTCCGCAGTTTGTTTTGCTGCTAGTATTGTATTCTCTTTGACATATGACGTTATCATATACACATGATTTGTCGTTTTTAATTAGTTTAATGAAAAAATTCTGAAACAAAAGTGAAAAAATTCTTTCTGTAAGTAAATCCGACAAAATATTTATTGAAATTAATGGAGTAATGACATCCGTTTTTTTCATTACTGTACACACATTACAAATCTGTTACACTTTTTTGCATTAAGACTCTGCATCATTGGGTAATTATAAAACAATGTGGCCATGATCCTTCATGCCAACATTTTTACACTATGTATAGGCCGATTTAAACACAGTGACACTTCAAGGTCACGAAATAGACGAAGAGGGAGAAATAATGTTGTCTTTCATTGCAAGGTAAAAATTTCAAGCTTCTTTATCTCAACACCTGATTTTTTAAGTAGTGTCACTATTGCAACGATCTGGTATCCATCCGTTTAATAAAGACGTCGCCTTACTTTATGAATTTAATACTAAGGTGTTTCACAATTCCGGGTCTCTAGGTGGCGCCAGTGGAGAAATGTAAGCTGCAGCGAATCAGAAACTTTTGTCCTCTCAACTTCTACGGCAAATTACTAGATGGGCCCGAATATTTAAGTAAATCTTTTTTAAAACTATAGAGAGTGTTGGCTTAATGGGAATGCGAGTAACATATTCCGTTAGTTTTCTTGTCATTGTTAATCAGTTATTCTATTGTGACCTCTGTGTTGTAACCCAGATACGCCGGTCTTCCACACTTGACTGTCAACGTCCTTTATTTGAACACTAAGAAAAGGCGAAATGTGATTTGTTCCGGCATAGCATAGAGTGTTGAACATTGAACTTTGTCTGTTGGGCGTTGAATATTGAACGTTGAACGTTAAATGTTGAACGTTGAGGGTGGAGAATTCTGGATTGAACTTTGAAATTGAGCTTTGTGAATTGAATGGTGAGCATTTAGTGTTGAATGGTGAGCATTTAGTGTTGAATGGTGAGCAT